AGTATCAATCGGTGTTGCCGACAGACAGCCTGTGGTTTGCAGAGGTCTTCGGAATTACTCACTTATTCACTTTATATATAGGTTTATCAAATAGGTTTCGGATTTAATGTTGATCAAATCGGCTATTCAATTCGATTCACATTAACTTTACATGTTTTTGAAATATTTACCCTTTGTGGGGTACTCCTTTCGGTACCCCACAAAGGGTACCGAAAGGAGTACCACATATTTATACTCATCACCACACTGTGGTGTAGGTTCTTATGTTTTTGTGCATATATTTTCAACAGGTAAAATCAATCAAAATATTCCCCTAATAACTTTTTAGGATATACATAGAATAAGTTTCCCCAAACGTATTGAGATTGGTGAAAACTTGTTCAAATTTATATATAACTCTCATCTATATATATTGGATCGATTTTACCGAATTGTGGACAAAGTATCTAAAAAAGTGTCTGTCGGTGTTGCCGACAAATGTATACCCTCAGCCTAATTTTTATCAAAAAGATTTCGGATTTAATATCGATAAAAGCGGTTATTAAATTCGCTACAAATTAAGTTCACAAGCTTGTGCGGGAGAAGGAGAGGGCCGACATTCTATTCGCCTGATATTAGATTTGTAAATATTGAGAATTTTGACCATTTGTGGGGGAGATGCCAGAAGGAGTGGAACAATGGGTCCCATCTTCGGACTTGATCCAGGCTTCCTAAAGATAATAGATTGTGCAAAGTTTGCTTCAAATCGGAAATTCCAGTCACCTAATATTGGATATGTAAATATTGAAAACTTTAACTATTTGTAAGGGAGATACCAGAAGGAGAGGACTAATAGGTCCCATCTTTGTACTTGATCTAAGCTTGGTAAAGAATATAAAATAATTTTGTTTGCACAATTTTGACCATTTTGTGAGGGAGGTACCAGAAGGAGTGGACCGATATTCCCCATCATCGAACTTAAACTAAGTTTGGGAGAAATATTACAATGTGCAAAGTTTGGATAAACTCGGTTACTCCCTTCGAAAGTTATCCAGCGCACCAACCGGCCAGACTGACGGACGAATATACATAAATCGACTCCAAATTGTCTGAAATGAATTTGGTCCAAAGAAACATGGGTCTAAGGCCAATATTTTGGCATGGCCGCAGCAAAGTGCCATAAGGCTGAGGGTATAAAAATTATCGATATGTGCCACCATTTAATATAGCCCCCATATAACGGTACTCCCCGATATTCGGTATTTTAGGGAGTTTGAAAACGTTTTTCAATCAATTTAGTTATAATTTGGAATTTTGAGTTTTCATGGAGTAACACATCTTCCTACCAAAAATTATCAATAATGGTTCACTTTTTACGACATCCTCCATGCAAAGGTACCGACATTTCTGTATTTTTATTGAGTATAGGCACAAGTTTTCAATCGAATTGGCTCTAATTTAGTATTTTGGATTCTCATTGGGTAACACATCTTCCTACTACCTACTTACTAAAAATGATCAATATTGATCAACTAGACCCCATAGGCTAGAAAATATTTATATAAACGTCCTCGAAGGTATTATTACCAATAGCGACATCTGTTGTCTTTAATATTTTTATATTCGGGTTGTTGTCTTTGCAAAGATATATCAGAGACATGCACAAGTTAATAATGAGTATTCACAATAACAGTAAACCGTATTATCGACTGTGTTAAGTAACACTTCAATTGTTACATCCATAATGGGTTTCTATAAAAGCAGGAGAATTTCTAAACACAAATCTATATTTCGTCATAAACAAATCGTAAAGTTAAAAACACTACATATGAACAAATTAAATACCTTGTTTTGCAATTTCTTTAGATTTGCCAATTAAATAACAAGCGACAAAACAAATTTCCTACAGAAAAAATCCACCGACAAAGGCAGGGCATCTAATTTTCCCACACCTTGAAAGCTATTTCAAATTTGCTAAAATCAACTAGAACTGAGTTTTAAATATAAAAGCCCAGTGAGTTTTATATTTCAACAACAGTTCGCTTGTTTAAAAATCACTAAAAATGTTTTCGAAAAAACTCTTAGCCGTTTTTATTATCTCAGGTGAGTGAAACTAAAAAAATGTACTTGCAAAAACTGATTTTTCTTGTAAATAATTAAAATTTCTCTTCCAGCTGCTCTCCTTGGTATCTTCACGATTAAGGCTCAGGAGAACACCTTGGTTCAGAATTTAGAAACTGCTGTCGGCGATTTATCCAAAATACTTGGTGATGTTGGTCGAATTCTTGTCAATCCGGTTGTACTCCTCAATGGCCAGTTGGGTGCCAATGTGGGCGAATTGGTCAATCATATAACTGAACTTGTTGCTGATTTAGCGAAAACAGTGGCCGATTTACTTTTGGCCCTGGGATTAGCCAGTAACTAATACAGATATCTATATTACATTTTATGTTGTGCAGCAGACAAAAAAAATTACCTGAAGCAGGAATAAAACAATTTATTCGTTGATGGTTATTTGTGGGGTGTTTTATGTGAAAATTGTAGTGTTCCTCAGAATCAGCCGGACGGGCCGACTATATGATACCCTCTGGCTACTTTAGCTACATATTAGAGATGACGAAAATAAAATATTTTTAAAAATAGGTTGTCAGCATCCCCGAACGCTAAATGCTAAATATTTTTACTTCGGGGAAAAATTGAGTGTAGAACTAAATTACCTCAAGAGCCCGGAATACCTAATTAGACGCCACTTCGTTGGAAAATGTGGCTAGATGCTTAAAAACACCGAAAAGTGGGGACTATGTCATAACATGTGTCTATAATAAACAAACAAGTAAAAAAGTGTCAGTCGGTGTTCCCAACAGATATATACCCCTAACCTATGGTTTGTGGAGGACTTCGGAATTACACACAGATTTTATTATTAGATTTATATAAGATATATGTTTTAATCAGAAGAGGTTTCGGATTTAATGTTGATCAAAGCGGTTATTCAATTCGTTTCAAATTAAATTTATAAGTTTATAAAATATTGACCATTTGTGAGGGGGAGGTGCAGGAAGGAGTGGACCAATAGGTCCTATCTTCAGACTTGATCTAGACTTGGTAAACCTTGCGCAACCTATTATGTTTTGCAAGATTTGGTTCAAATCTGACATTCCATTCGCCTCATATTGGATTTAAAAACTGTGACCATTTGTGGGGCAGGTACCAGAAGAAGTGGACCAATAGGTCCCATCTTCGGACTTGATGTAGGCTTAATAAAGATGATAGGTTGTACAAAGTTTGGTTCAAATCGAATAGTCCGTTCGCATGATATTATAAAATTAATTTTTAGCAAAATGTTGATCATTTTGTGGGGGAGGTACCAGAAGAAGTGGACCGATATTCCCCATCTTTGAACTTAAACTAAGTTTTGAAGAAATAATACGATGTCAAAGTTTGGACGAAATCGGTTGCTTTCTTCAAAAGCTATTGTGCGCATCAGCCGACCATACAGACGGACGGACGGACATTTGCAATTCGACTTCGAATTTTCTGAAACGGGGTTTGTCAAAAGAAACATGGGGTCTAAATCTAATATTTCGATGACGTACATTTTCACTGTATCAAAGTGTATATACCCAAAGTATATATAGCCATAAGTCTAAGGGATTAAAAACAACCCCAAAATTGTAGCCACTTATGTGGAACATTCAAAATATTTAAATTCGATCCGAACTTTTATATGGAGGCTATGTCGTGGTATATTTTTAATAGGGGAAGATGTGACACCCAATGAAAACCTAGGAATATGAAATTATAGTAAATTCGTTTGAAACATTTTTCAAAAATTCCGAATAATGGAGTACCATTATATGGGGACCTTGGAACATAAGTCCACGCTATAAAGATCCCAATATACTAAGTTATAGAAAATTTGGTTGAACAACATGTCCCAGGTCCACAAAACACCAAACATTCTAGAAGGGACTTCTTATAAAAAAAATACCAGAAGGTCTTCTTATAAAGGCGCTGAAGAAGGTTTTCTCAGATCATGTTTAATGATCTTGTCATTGAATAGCTGCTTGTCTTCTAATGACTAAGAAGATCGGAAGGCAAATTAAGGGGAATGCCTCATTATAAAAGATTGAAAGGTTTCATAGACGAGCGGAAAGTATTTTGATTCCCAGAGGAGCAGAATAATCTGTCCTAGAAGAGCAGTAGGCTTTCACACCGGAGAGCAGAAAAACTTCTTAAATATGGCCATATAGTCATTTTTCTCTTATATAATCGGTAAGCTCTATTCTATTTCTATTAGATATTTTATAGCTCGAATTTCTTCCTATCCAAAAGTATCCAAAAAATCGAAAGTGCTTTCAAAGCATTATCTTCAATATTCCATATTTTGTGATGTTAACAAACAGACAACTTTATGCTGTAGGGTATAAAAATGAGTTCTGAAAGTATCAGTTTTATTATTTTACCAGCCCTTCATATTTCCGTATACACAATCCAGTGTTTGAAATTTACAAGATTTAAATAAGGAATATCGACATTTTCTACAATTTAATATTTGTTTCATTGTATATTTCAAAAAAAAATATTATTTTATACACTTTAAAAAATTTTACATACATATATATTTTTTACACACAAAACATAATTATATATATTTATAAATATACACATAAACGTTTATGTAACTTAAATAATTTGTTTTTTTTTTTATAAATTAATAACAGTCAAGGTCATAACACTTGCATAAACCTATTAAAAAATTTGTTACATTTATCAAAATGGTCACATTTAAATAATTAACTTACATCGCTACGGTACGGTATGTAGATTAGCAAGAAAAACATCGGCAGTTACTCAGTTACATAGCTTGTCTTCCGAAGATGAAGATAAGACAGTAAAAGAAACAGAGAGGCAGACTGATCTTAAAAAGCTAATTAATTATTTGTCTCAGTATCCGAAAAAAACACAAGAGCTAATCTTGAGCTCCCATTAGTCCCCAATATACCCCCCAAATAAGCAGGGTATGAAGCACTACTAGAATTGATGCATTGAATTGTGATAATCCGGCCGATTGTATCGATGATTCGGTGTTCGACTTGAGAATTGTGAAATGGTATCATCACCGGGTGGGGCAACCAATAGAATTGGTTGTAGATTGAGATTCTTTCGTGAACCTGCTAAACTAACACCATCTGTTAGGTAACTGTTGTTGATTTCACCTGTTGGGAAGAATAATTCAAATTAATTATTGTTTTTTAATAAAAGGAAATTTTGTTACCCTTACCCTTAAATAAAGAATTTTGATACATTGGATCGGGTTGCAGGCGTACATGTCTGGTGGCCAATATAAAAGCCAGTGTCGCCAGCACAACGCCATCTACACATCCAATAATGGCCAGAGGATACGCCCATCTAATGCCACACAGACCCAGTTCGAAACGATTGGCATCTGGTCCGCATACCTTGCGGAAATCGTCGGAATTCCAACCGAATGGGAAAGCACCACAGGCCACAATCATACATAGAGCTAGAAAAAGAGGAAACAAATGTTTAGGAATTTATTTTAAAATAAATACCAACTATTTTAGAATAAAAATTTGGAAAACTTCGCTGTCATATACGACCAGAAATGTTTTCTTATAGAAGAGCAGAAGGTCTTCTTATAGAAGAAAACAAGTTTGTCACTATTTCTTTAGACTTTCGAATATCTTCTCATAGAAGATCTGAAGGTCTTTTTATAGAGGAGGAGGTATTTTCATAGAAGAGCTGAAGGTCTTCACATTGAAGATCTGAAGGTCTTTTCATAGAGGAGAAGGTCTATTCATATAAGATCTGCAGGTCTTCCCATATAAGATCTGAAGGATTTCTCATAGAAGATTTTCTCACAGAGGAGCTTAAGGTTTTCTCATAGAGGAGCTGAAGGTCTTCTCTTAGAGGAGCTGAAGGTCTTCTCATAGAGGAACTGAAGGTCTTCTCATAGAGGAACTGAAGGTCTTCTCATAGAGGAGCTGAAGGTCGTCTCATAGAAGAGCAGGAGGTCTTCTCATAGAGGAGCTGAAGGTCTTCTCATAGAGGAGCTGAAGGTCTTCTCATAGAGGAGCTGAAGATCTTCTCATAGAGGAACTGAAGGTCTTCTCTTAGAGGAGCTGAAGGTCTTCTCTTAGAGGAGCTGAAGGTCTTCTCTTAGAGGAGCTGAGGGTCTTCTCATAGAGGAGCTGAAGGTCGTCTCATAGAAGAGCAGGAGGTCTTCTCATAGATGAGCTGAAGGTCTTCTCATAGAGGAGCTGAAGGTCTTCTAATAGAGGAACAGGAGATCGTCTAATAGAACAGCAGGAGGTCTTCAAATAGAAGAGCAGGAAGTCGTATCATTAAAGAGCAAAAGGTATTCTTCCCTTAGAAGAGCTAAATATCATCTCATAGAAGATGTAAATGTCTTTTTTTAGAAGAATAACTCAAGGTCTTCCTATAGAGAGGTGAAGGTCTTCCTATAGAAGAGGTGAAAGTCTTCCCTTAGAAGAGGTGAAGGTCTTCCCATAAAAGAGTTGAAGGTCTTCTTACAAAAGAGCTAAAGGTCTTCTCATAGAGGAGCTGAAGTTCTTCTCATAGAGGAGCTGAAGGTCTTCTATAAAAGAGATGAAGGACTTCTTATAGAAGGACAGAAGATCTTACCATAGAAGAGCAGATAGCCTTCATCTGGAAAAACTGAAGGTATTCTTATGGAAGAGCTGAAGGTCTTGTCTTAGAGAGGTGAAGGTCTTCCTATAGAAGAGGTGAAAGTCTTCCCATAGAAGAGGTGAAGGTCTTTTTACAGAATAGCTAAAGGTCTTCTCATAGAGTAGCTGAAGTTCTTCTCATAGAGGAGCTGAAGGTCTTCTATAAAAGAGATGAAGGACTTCTTATAGAAGGACGGAAGGTCTTACCATAGAAGAGCAGATAGCCTTCTTCTGGAAAAACTGAAGGTATTCTTATGGAAGAACTGAATGTCTTGTCTTAGAGAAGAGTTTTCTCATAGTTTTCGTTTTCTCATTAATCACCAGAAGGACTTCTTCTCATTGAAGTCTTGAAATTCTTTTCTGAAATGATCCGATTCAAAAGTCTTCTTAAAAAATAATAAGGGCTATTCGAAGTTCGGATATAACCTAGTATTTACAAAGCATATATATATATATATATATTTCTCAATTAACACAACCTTATGCAAATTCTGCGAAAACTTCAAGTTAATAACCTTAATGTAAGAAGTAAAAACAATAAGAAAACTTGACACAAAAACAACAACTTCTGGCTACGTGCCCATAAATGCTGAGCTCAAATATTATAGTAAATCGTAACCCAATTTAATGTGTTTGTTTTACATACTTCATTTCTGTTTAATTTTCACTTCCAACAAAAAGACAAAACCAACATCATTTACAGTAATAAAAGTAGGTCTTCTAACTTGAAATCAATCAATGCAAAAAACCCCAAATACATTCACAATTTGTTAATATCTCCATTATTCCAGCATGCAACTAATTTTACAATTGTCTCTATCGAACTGTCTACATACACACACATATAGCTACATACATACCTGATATGATTTGCAACCAACCGCAAATGTGAAAGACTCGTGTCGATTTCATAAATATTACAAATATTAGGAAACATATCGTCAATAAGGCCAGAGCAACTGCAGCCGCCATAAATAGGGTAGCCAACTGGAAAAATGTTGAAATAACGAAAGGATTTATCAATTTGGTAATGGATGGATGGATAATGGTGTATACCATGAGAGACCAAAACTTACTTGAAACGAAAATGTGGGCACCTGTAATATATTTTCCCATTTACGTTTACAATTGTCGAAAATTTCATCTTTCTGGCACATTTGCCACAGACCAATGCGACCGGCACTCTCGTTATCGGGATCACCAATCCATTCTGAAAAAATATTAATTACAGAATAGGCTTAATAATTTGAAACTTAAAAACAAACTCAAATATAAACCAGTGAGCGGAGCAGTATAGTCGGACGGGGGCGACCATACGATACCCTACACAACTACCACGGAACTCTAACATTCTGCGGATTTTTATTCCGAGCCTAGGCAACATTTCGTGATAGTTGAACCCTCTTGCTCGATTAGAGGTATACAGCACCTCTTCCTTACACTGACATATTTTCCGAATATTACAAATATTCAATACAGTCCTTCAAATTACTTGTCCATATTCTCTTCAACCTGGGTTGTGTTGTAATATTCGAAAAATTCCAAAAAAGTTTAGTTTTCGGTCCACTTCTTCCCAAAATTATTATCTGATCGTTACCGAAAATTATAGGCGTTGTCCTTGGCCATAACTGGAGCCTCATGGAGTATATATATACGCCATACAATACATTTTTTTCATTTTTCACACAAAAGTCAGGGTCCATTTGACCCTCTAAATATTGGCCGATCTTTATCAAAACAGGCATGCCTATTTTTTGACCCAATCCCCTTCTCCATGTAAAAATTCGAGATGTTTGGGCAATAATTGCGGCCTCTGGAGCGACCAGAAAAACCGACAAAAATTCAGTATTTGGTCCATTTCATCCCCTAAATATTAACCGATCTTTGCCAAAAACAATAGGGGTCTTCATTGGACCGAACCCATCCTACATGCAAAATTTCGTGAAGATTGGTCCATAACTGCGGCCTGTATTGTGTTTACAAATTATAATGGACAGACAGACGGACGGATGGACGGACGGACACACATGTCTAGATCGTCTCAGCTAGTTACATTTAGATCTATACTATGTTGCAGATATTGATTTAACCATATCATATGTATGACCTTCCAGTGTACTAAAATTAGGATGGCATCGTTATATACGGGATATAACAAAAAAGACACCTACAGCGAAAATGTTTCCCCAGGAGATTTTGTAATCCAATGGGCACCTGAAATTATAATAAATAACAGCTTAAAATGCACAAAAGGATCATTTCTAGTAGGCAGATGTCCCAGCCCAGAAAACATATAAAAGCGAACCTGCTGATGGTTCACGCAGAAGGGGAAGGCCAAGAATACGATGGAAACATCAAGTCGAAGACAGCATTGCCGAAAATGGTCTTTCAAATTGGAAAAAATGGGCAAAAGACCGACGCGCCTGGAAATCTTTTCTAAGCTCGGATTATGGAATGAAAGTTCTGTTACAAGCCAGCTAAGTAAGTAAGTATGATTTCCTACCAACATCCAATATCGAATCTTCATTCGCATAATCTAATCTCATGCTTCTATCTATGTTCGTTTATCCCAATATCTCATTTTAGTTCCAGCCATGTTTTGAAATAACCACCATACAAAGGTCCCGCTCAATTTTCAATATTTTGAAGGTCTTAGTCGCATTTTCCAACCGCAGTGGTTGCAATTTTTCATTTCGTGTTCTTGGAGGGTTAACATATTTTACAGGTTTTAGTCGCATTTTCGCATCGAAATGACTGTAAGTTGACATTCATACAAAGATCCCGCTTTATTTTCAGTGCGTTGATTTTCCTAGTCCAGTTTTGACACATGAGTGCATGGTCCCGACCTTTTTAAGAATCTACGTTTTTTTTTTTTTTTTTGCTTTTTAATTATGTCGCCCAGTCTGAGTCCATTTGTCGGGACTGATCAATTTAACTGTCATATCTGCCTGTCCTTTATAAAAGGTTTATGAAAATGCTAAGTTCGACATCTAAATGGACTCGGGGACTCATTTCACATTTTACGAGATTTATGACATTTCAAAATTGTTACAATTTGTGTGGGAGGTACCACAGGAGATTGATCCACACAGGCGATATTTTCACTAAATCGGTATTTCATATAAATATAAGGTTAAGCCAAGTTTGAACCTAACAGCATTAACCATTCGCATTTTTTGTATTTAAATATTAACAATCTGAAGAGGAGGTTCCATAAGGAGTGGCGCCATAGGTCCATTTCCAGGTTTAATGTAGGTTTCCTAAAAATATTAATATTGCCATCGATCGATCACATCGGATACTCTATCCGTATGATATTTACAAGTTTTCAATCGTTTTACATTTTGTGGAGGAGGTGGATGGGTCCTATCATCGGACTTGATCTAAATTTGATAAAAGTACCACAACGTGCAAAGTTTGAATCAATTCGGATTCTCAACAATCTTTTTATACCCTACACAACTATTTTGTCAGGGTATTATAGCTTTGTGCAGCCCCAAATGTTTGCAACGCCGCGAAATATTGGTCCTACACCCAACTTTAAGTATACCGATCGTCATATCTCGACTAGCTGAGTCGATCTAGACATGTGTGTCCGTCCGTCCGTCTGCCCATTATAATTTGTAAGTTATGGACCAATATTCACGAAATTTTGTTTTTGGTAAAGGTCGGTTAATATTTAGGGTATGAAATGGACCAAAAACTTTATTTTTGTCTGATTTTCTGGCCGCTCCAGAGGCCGCAATTATGGCGCAAACATCCCGAATTTTCACAAGTAGAACGGGATCGGGCCAAAGAATAAGCATGCCTGTTTTGGCGGGTCAAATGGACCTTGACTTTTGTGTGAAATATGACAAAATTTGTGTTCTATAGCGTATATATTTACTCCTGAAGGCCATAGGCCCGAGAAGTTGATAGTATATCCAAGAGGAGCGGTTGACCTATAAATTGATACCAATTATATTGTCGTATGTTCTCGGATGTGGGAGTTACACTTAAATATTTGCAGGTGTCTACGTATTCAGATATTATGTATTAACCTATTACCACACCAGAGGGTCTGCCCTCTGGCTGATCGCTTTGAAATGTCCATGAGGTTCCAGTTATGGTCAAGGACAGCGCCTATTTGTTCTGTGATGATCAGACAATAATTTTGGGATGATGTGGACCGAAAAATTAATTTGTTGTGTTTTCGAGTCGATCTATAGGCCAAAATTATAAGCCGAACATCAAAACAAAGCCCACGGGGAATGGAATATGGACAAGTACCGAATATTAGAAACATTCGGAAAATATGTGAGTGTATGGAAAAGGTTCTGTTGACCTCTAATCGGGTAAGAGGGTGCAACTATCACGAAATATTGCCCAGGCTCGGAATAAAAATCCGCAGAAAGTTAAAGCCACGTGGTAGTTGTGTAGGGTATCGTATGGTCGGCCCCGTCCGACTATACTGCTCCGCTCACTGGTTTGAAGCTAAATCTACCCATTTACCACTATTGATAATTTCTATTAGGCACATTTTTGTAAACAAAGAGGATCTAAAATTTCGAATTATTTTCAATTCTCATTACCAGTATTCATGTTTTAAGCTCCAAATGCTCCAATGTACATTTTTATAAGTATAAAATTCTATACCGACCAATTTTCAATATGGTATGAGGGGTTGGAAAATTCCTATTGAGGATAAATAACATGGTGAGTATATGAGAAACTCAGAAGGAAAAATTCGACATGGGTTAAAGTTCTGAGATATGGTGAGTTAATTTTTTGCTGGCGACCCTATTATACATGAATAGATAGCTCAACATCTTGAATTGTATTTTTTCTTTAATGTTCCTCGTTATTTTTTATAAAGAACTGTCAAATTCATCCGAATTCTTTGCTGAAAAATATTACTTAAGCCAAAGAAGCCAAAAACCTAATTTCGAGGAAGAAATAACCAGTTTTCCAGTTTAAGGACCCAAAAATATTTCGTGCACATGAGGACTCTAACTGAAATCATATGAGCTCGATTTTTTAGAGTAGTTGAATGTCAAAAAATCTCGTCTTGATTTCATTTGTTTACGATACAAGAAAATATAGACGAAAATACTCACAACAATTCAAGGTACAAGGAGAATATATTTCACAAAAATATTCCCCATTCGATTTGACAGAATGCATTTCATTTCAAAAATAACCTGCAATAGGACCAAGATTTTGTGTTTTTTTCAGCAAAAACTGTATTTCGCCATAACACAATAACATGACCTATGGCAAATTTGTCCTTCTGGATCCTCCAGACCATGACCTCCATTTTGCCGCATAGTGTAATGGGTATTTTAGAGAGAAGAGGTAAGGGATATTATTTATTTAAATTGTTAATCATTTAGCAAACAAAACTAGGAATTATCTTTGGTTAACCATTAACTACATCATTATGTGACATAAGTGATTGTATATATCTCCCATGGCGAAGATTAACGAATGGCCCAGATAAGACATTAACAAATTTAGACAAATAACAACACACACACCGCAATGTAGAAAAATGACAAATGATCTCATCATTTTTAAGATTGTTGTTTTTTTTTCTTCGGTCATTTATAAATTTGTTTCACATTTATATAACATTTACTGTGATCTTTTTTAAATTTAGATTTCCGTACAAAAAAACAACTCCTAATGGCTCGGACACCAAATAATCCATAAAACTGTAAAACGTGACAATTTCACAAAAACGCTAATCATTCGCACACAAAATTCCAAAAGTTATGTTCAACAAAGTATTCAAAAAGAGAAAAATACATTTCAGAAATATTTGTCTGTTTAGATAAAAAATAAAATGTAAACAATTGCAACAATCATATATCGGTCATGTACAAGAGAAACACCAATAAAAGTAAAACGGCCAAGATAGCCAATCAATTTACCTGGTGTTACAAATGCCACAATACCAATAATGGCATAGCATATCGTAAATATGGCCCACAGCACGGCAATGGCTTTTGAGTTCCGGATATATTTCGTCGCATAGATTTGCGTCGTGTCCACGTATTCGATCTTTGTGCCCATTTTTGGTAATGCTCCACTATTCCAATTAAACTAGAACGACAACTAAAAAGAAACAAAAGAGAGAAAATAAATAAATTAAGTATTTTTAAAGAAAAATAAAATTGAAGAAGAAAATGTTTAAAGAAGTTCTTATGTCCACTATTGTTGTTGGGTATGAAACAGTTAATGACCTTTAAGTAGCTTAATTAAGTGCGGAGCTTTAAATGTCCGCTCAGTCAATGACATTAAATAAGTATTTTGGTATAACATCGAAAGAGGAAAATATAAAATCTGACTGTAATTTTTAACATAGATTTTTATAGCCTACATACTAAGAGGGCTAGTATATATATTTGTGGCATATTAATGTAAAATGCGATTATTTATTTATCATAAATTAATTTCACATTATTAGTTAGAGACTTAAATTAAGTTCGAAAGAATTGTTAATATTTAGAAAATGTTTAAACCTCATATTATACAAATTGTTTTAAACTTTACACATCGTAGTATTTTTATCACTCTTAGTTCTGAAGATGGGACTTTTCATTATATTCCTTCTGGAAGCTCCCATTTTGAAGTGTGATGTATATATTTCTCATTTTCGGCAAGACCAACATATATAAAAAATTATTTTTAGTTAGTGATGTGTCTGCAAAAAAAACGCTTCAACAGCATTTTCTGCAGATGAAAATCGTTGACTGACACACCTTGAAGATACATAGACAATCCCACGGCATCGAGTTCTACGATTTCGAATTGACCCAATACTACACGGCCAGTGGCTGCCACCCCAGTTATATCTGTTTTGAGACCAACATGGTTCTGTTTGCTTCAACATCACTCACCGCCCGTGTCGGTGAAATGAAATGGGAATTAGGAAGTGAGTGCCTTTCAGGAGCTATTCAGGTTTGGCTCGGTTGCGAGTCTACCGCAGTCTCCTCAAAAGGAATACAACCTGCAGTATTTAACACCATAAGTTCCAGTTTCTACTCCTGATTGTGAATCAGTTCTTAAATTTAGTTGCAACTGTCTTGGAGGAAAATATTTGAGATAGCGGATTTTATGAGTCCGAATGATATATTGATCGCGTAATGGAGATGAGGGTTAGCATTTCGATTGAGCAAGACTCTAGTGACCCATTCATGGAATGTTTAAGTGTGGCACTGTCGAAGTTCAGGTTCATATATCACCGATAAAAACCTGTTAACCGCTAACATTAGATATATATAGAAGGCCCATGAAACCATGAATTTTGTTATACCGTCCAAGGTAATAACCAGAGGGAACAGAGCTGACAGAGCAAATTGATAGCTTCATGTTTCGCACGGTGAATGGGGATACCTCCTCCAGAATAAGGGGGAAAGGTTGACTGGCAGCTTGTCTTTTCACTTGGATCAGACCATCTCCGTATAATTTTCTACAACAGCAGACCGCTTTATTAAATCATATTTTTTTATTCTTCATCATCTGTCATTAAAAATAGAAAATCGAAATGGGTAGGAACCGGAATAAGCAAAAAGTGAGCAACGGTTAAGTCCCTCTAGAACCCTGGTAAGAAGGATGATGATGACCTCGGTCCCATTTAACGACGAAATTGTGACTGATCAGATCTGCCATTCATTTTAAACGATACGTCGTATAAAATTTCTTCCCGTCGAGGAGGTATATCCACAGTTTTCAATGGGTTATGTTGAAAGTTTCAAACGTAGCGCTAAATCATCTAATGTGCTGTTTCCTAACGCTGACGTAGTAATGGTGAAACAGCTGGACGAGCCAGAAGTTGACTAAAGAATGCTAACAAAGGTGGCTAATACAGGACGATCCCACTTTGTCACCCATAGCGGCACCTATTGAGGCACTGCTTCTCCACATCATTAGGGAAAGCTATCCAGTTTCTATCAGCATGGGTTCGGTAAGCAACACAGCACAACAACAGTATTCCACGCCATTAGGACTGTTCAGCACATGAACTTCTTCTTCTTAGCTCGCTTATGACAGAACGGTTGTTCCATAAGCCGAACTTAAAAAAATTTCCAAGCGCGTCGGTCTTGTGCGCATCTCATCCAATTGGAAAGACCATTTTCCAAGATGTTGTCTTCTACCTTATCTTTCCATCGGATTCGTGACCTTCCCCTTCTGCATCAAGCGAACCAAGTGATCGCTTTTATATGCCTTTTGAGCAGGGGTACCTTCATTAATTCTCACAACATGGCCTAGCCAACGCTGTCGCTGCATCTTGATACGTTTGACTATGTCAATGTCAGAGAATATATGATATAACTCATGGTTCATTCGACGGCGATATTCACCGTTGACGCATATCGGCCCATAGTTTTTTCCGGAGAATTTGTCTCACAAACACTCAAAGTGCAGAACCACGGATATTATCAACTTCTTGTGGAGTGTGAGTTTGGTCTGGCGAGAGGTGGCCTGGCTTTTGAGTTTCTTACTCAGACCATAGTAGCATCTGTTGGCCAACAATATTCCACAGTTGGTCCGAGTCTACTGAACGTCTTGCGCGTTGATACCATTAGCTTGGTTTTTTCACATCAACTGCTGACATGAAAATGTCATTGAATGTACAGGTAGAGGGACATAAAATTCCGATCAACAACAATCCCAAAATTATTATCGGGATCACAATCGATAGCATGTATAAATTGTCCGCGCAAACGACGCATATCTGTGACAAGTTGACAAATAGGAAAAAGGCCCTCAAAATGTTATTGGTAAGTGTGTTCCGCAAATACTTGTGCTACTGATATCTGTCAGAACGTAGCCCTAAAAACTGCAACAGGGTGCCTCCTCATGACACCTCTCCACCATATACATGAGGATACAAAGATCCTTCCCTTACTTCAACATAGCAATACGCCTTCGTTGCAGTAACTGCCTCAGTGCTTCAGAGAAAATCGTGATCTAGAGAGAGGTAGGTAAAAAAGTAAGCATTTAGATAAAAATACATATCGAGCAGGTCTGAAAAGCATTCACACTATTGCAGTTGCCGACGGGCTAATTGAATATACAGTAGATATCGGATATAAGCACATCTGATATAAGAAAAAAATCGCATATAAGAAAGATTATCAAAACACCGAGGCTATACTTTCTTATATCCGATATGTCCATATAAGAAAACCAGTAAGGAAAGTAGTAAAATCGGACGGGGCCGACTATATGATACCCTTCACCACTATGGGTATATTAAACAGTACTATTAACATGAAATTGGATGAATGTGATTGGATGATATGTGATATTTATCTAAATGTGAATCTACCTAGATCTATCCATAAAGTATGTAAATCGACTTCAAACAAATATAAATAGGTCATCCGTTGGGCTATTTCTGTACTTCTAGAAAACGCAACTACGTAGTTCTATGCTCAATTTTGTAAGTTGTGCAAAATTTGATGTCAATCTGACTAACATGAGGAGTTTGATGCCCAATTTACTTGAAATCTGGCGAAAATATATATGGAACCTCTATCCAAATATTAAGCGATTTCAAACAAACATGTCACAGGTTAGATTATACTAATTTCAGAACGTTTTCTTCCAATCAGCATATTGGTTCCTTGGTGCGTCAATTACTTAAAATAAATCTATAATAAAAGGGAGCTATATCTAAATCAGGACCGATTTTCACGAAACAAGGCAGACATCACTCTAGGCTCAATTCAGTACGTTATGCTAAATTTCGTGCAAATCGAAAGATATATGCGACTTTGGTGTACCATTTACATGAAATCGGACGAAACTATATATGGGAGCTATATCTAAATCAGGATCGAAACTTGGCAGACATCATTCTAGGCTCAATTCAGTAAGTTATGCCAAATTTAGTGCAAATCGAAGGATATATAGGGACTTTGGTGCACCATTTATATGAAATCGGACGAAAATATATATGGGAGCTATATCTAAATCTGGACCGATTTTCTCGAAACTTGGCAGATATCACTCTAGGCTTAATTCAGTACGATATGCCAAATTTCGTGCAAATCGAATGATATATAGGGACTTTGGGGCACCATTTACATGAAATCGGACGAAACTATATATGGGAGCTATATCTAAATCTGGACCGATTTTCACGAAACTTGGCAGACATAATTCTAGGCTCAATTCAGTACGTTATGCCAAATTTTGTGCAAATCGAAGGATATATGGGGACTTTGGTGCACGATTTATATGAAATCGGACGAAACTATATATGGGAGCTATATCTCAATCTGGACCGATTTTCTCGAAACTTGGCAGACATCCCTCTAGGCTTAATTCAGTACGATATGCCAAATTTGGTGCAAATCAAAAGATATATAAGTACTTTGGTGCACCATTTACATGAAATCGGACGAAACTATATATGGGAGCTATATCTAAATCTGGACCGATTTTCACGAAACTTGGCAGACATCATTCTAGACCTAAATGATTAGGCTGTACCAAATTTCGTGCAAATCGAAAGATATATAGGGACCGTTTACATTAAATCGGTTAAAAATATATATGGGAGCTATATCTAAATCTGAACCGATTTTTCCCAATTTCAATAGGTTTCGTCCTTGGGCCGAATAAGTGACATGTGCCAAATTTCATCCAATTCGGGTCATAAATGCGACCTGTACTTTGTTTACAATTTAACATGGACATACAGACGGACGGACGGACGGACGGACATGCATAAATCGACTTAGAAAGTGATTCTATGCATATTCTCAAAAGGAACCATGTGTCTATCTCGTTTCCTTTTGCCTGTTACAAACATATGCACAAAGACATAATACCCTGTACCACAGTGTGGTGAAGGGTATAAAAACGCATATGAGAAAGAAATCTACGGCTTTTTTGAGTTTCTTATATCCGATATCTACTGTAATAAATTTCGTCGTCGGAGCCTGAAGCGTGTTCAGCTGCATACACAAACCAAATTAATTTTGGCTCAGCTACGTTCAGGATAGTGTAGTCCTCTCAATTCGTCTGGGCGCACGTTGATGACAACGTGCAAAATTTCCAGCCAACGAAGTGTCTTCAAAGACCCGACG